GCCGCTGGCTGAAACCGTACATCGTGATGTAAGTTATAGGGGTGACAAGGTAGCGGAAGTAACAGTCGTGACAAAATCACGATGATTTATCACTGTGATTTTTTTGGAACCGGAACGACAGTCACGGCGATAGAAATGTAACGCTATGCCCCAAGTCTAGCAACAACTAGTGCAACGTTCTAAAGCGCAGTTCCAATAAGGAAGCAGCGCAGTACGTTCAACAGTAACGATCTAAAGCGGAGTTCCAAACAAGAAAGCAGAGCTAGATGCGTAGTAAGTTGGATTCCATTCACGTTTGCATCGCCGCCAGTAGTCATTCCGCGAGGGAAAATCTTAACACCGCGATGCAGAATTTGCTATTTCGACGCCAGTGTCATCTAGCGGTCCGTGACGGAACTAATATGAGTTGTTTGCCTGTTATGTGATTTTGTTTGTTTTGTTTTGTTTGTTTGTTTTTAATTGCCTTCAAATATTAAAATATTGTCCTTCCTATAAAATGAACTATTACATAATCTTTTTGTAATAGGAGATCTTATCGATTAACTTAAATAATGAAAACGCACGTAAATATATGAACTTACAGCCATAATTAATTTTACTAGATGTATTTCTGTTGGTAATTGATCAAATTGATGAATGGTGATGATGTCAGCAGTAACAAATGAAAATGTTACTGCTGACAAAATATGGTAAAATCTTAGGTTTACTTAATGACGGCCTCGTGTGAAATTTTTGTGATTTGTTTATTATTTCTCGGATTTATTAACTATGCTACTCTGCAGGTTTGGATAGCATCTTAGGTGAGATAAACTAGACCACCTTCGTCCTTGAAAGCAACGAACTCATACGAATGACCAACTCCAGTTTTTTGTAAAGACAGCGCACTGTGGATTCATTGCATTATATATTTTTTGTATTACTCGTACTACATATCCGGCGATGTATGTAATTACTTGCTCATTATATTCGGACATTCGAGGCAACGTGCTACGAAAATTATCGAAATTACAGATACTACTAATAATAGATACCACAAAACTGAAAAAAAAAACCGAAACGTTACTAAACGTTATGCCAAAAGAGTTATAGAATATTTTTATAATATTGCTAGGGTCATAATAATTTTCGTCCCTTTGTTTTCAAAATCGATCAGAATCGAGAACAGTGTTGTCTAACGTACCTATACCATCACTAAATGTTAAATTTGGCTAAAGAAATGTACAAGCGGCCGTACCACGAAACTTAATGTATTATACAAAAGTGCGTTCGTTCGATATTCATGCCGTATTAACAAAGTATCACAAATATATCGCACCAAGTAAAAGCCGCAATGTATTACAAATCATGAGGCATACATTCGGTTGCATATTTGTTTTATCGGAATTCATACAAAACGAAAATAATTATTTTTAAAATAAATTATGCATCTTCTGATTACAAAATCACTTGCCCGTGGAAGGAAACGTCTCTGTGTACACGTTTACCCACAGTTATGGTGCTTTTGCAGTTTATAATGGCACAATTATCCATTTTTCGCGTTGTTATCTACGACAACGGTCGAACGCGTTCTGAAGTGTAGCAGCGGCAACTAAGTGAATTTCACTTAGTTTGCACAACTTACTTTGGGCACGCGAAGTACGTACACTTGCGGCGTCTATCTAGATATACAGGCTGTATATTTGAAAGTGAGACATATTCATACATGTCATAGTAAATCATGTTACAACTTAACATAGACTAAAATAAAATTAGGATATGGGATAGAACAAAAATTAAATCAACAAATGTGTTTTGAAGTGTACTTAGGAATAAACCGATTCCCTTTACGCTTGATTTCGAGTACAATGTGAATACTACCAAGCGAGTGCCGAGTGAGACAGCAACAATAACAATGATTTCACATTTACGTTTTAGCTTATGTTAATTATTTTTTACTTGAACTATCATCGAAATGTTTTACGTACTAAAAAAGATAAGTTTATGATTTAGTAACTAGTTATCATTTAATAAGAATTGAGGTTTTTGGCGTAGTTAAAGATGTGAAATCAAATTATTTACAATGATTGATTTTTTAGTTATTTACAGTTTATTTACTTACGTGTTACGGAGCAAGTGGTCAAAATGTCCACCGTTTTCCACAATGCACAGCACGGCAAATTTACTATGCCGTTTTAAATTGTACAACACAAACACATTTTGTCTCACAGTATAAAATGCTGAGATAATCCTCTCACGCAACACTTCGACACTGTTCACCTCCTCCGCGTAAACTCCGATTTGGGAACATTTCAATAGCTTGCCTCACACTATCACCACTTATTGCGCACCGTCTCAGTCAATTCGACGTTAGAATAAATATCCATTTTGCGGCGATCGGGCGAGCGGAAGCACAAATAATTTACGTGTCTTCGTTAGATCAAGGTTGTGCGTGCACTGTCTGAAGTTGCAAACAGCAATTTCGCGTATGCGCCCGCGCCCCCACCCCCCCTACCTGTGCTTTGTTTTTCGCTGCCGTGTCGCCTCCCGCCGCTGCGTTGGAGCAATAATAGTGATGTGCATAGATTTCGTTGATAACTAATGTTGTTCTCAAGTAGTAGACGACAAAAAAAAAATAAAAAAATATTTTTTGTAAAGTTTAAGTTCATTAGTTTATTATTTCTTTGGGTTCAAAATCAGGAATATAACGCACTCTATAAGTATGTCCCACTTTCAAATATATAGCCTGTATATCTGTATTTTACTCTAATTCTTTATCGGCAGGGCCCATGTCGGGCCCAAGAATTTCGTTGGCATTTACAGTTTTCGTGAACGACTGGAATGAATGATATGGTGTAGGTATTTTTTTATGTCAACTACGATAAATTACGGTTTTTACTTTAACTTAAAATTAATACAATCGTTTTGCTTTATTTTTTAATTTTACATTTAATATGTAGTTCATTAAGCATTTATTGTAATATTCATGCAGAAAATACAAAGAAAGAAATAAAAAAATATTTTTGACTTAATTAGCCGAGACGCTATAAAAACTCATTGTTATCAGATTTATTTGAAGAGTACTATTTCATGCAAATTATAGGTGGCAAAAGTATGACAACCAAAAATTTCCTTATATTAGAAGCTATATTCTGTATATTCGTATTCTTTGTAAACTTATGGTACATAATATTTACAAATAAATATGAAAATGAAGGCATTTTGAAGCTCTGGTGAAATTTCTCGTAATCATTATCTCCTAAAAAAGCAAAATATATAACGCAGAGGGCCAACAATTAATACGGGAATCAAAATCTTAAATTAGTGGTTTACATAAAGAAATTTATCGTCCAATAAGCTCTTGAAAATGAAGACGGAAAAGAAAATCGTGACACGGGGAAAAAAACATGAAAACTCGTCTTATAACACAATCATCCCAAGATTGGAGAAAATTGGTAATAAATCGTGCTTTTGAGATATTCATTTAGTGTAATTTGGTGTATTTGTGTTAAAACTGAATATTAACTGACACTTATTATTAAATCACTTTATTTCCAGATCTTTGAGACAGCCATTGAAACATACGTAAGGTGTCGTAGTAGTAGTAGTAGCGAGAACTCAATCACTACCAAATGACGGGTTCATGATAATAAGTCGTATTGGATTTCCCGGCGTAGTCCCTAGATCTGACCCCAATCGGACACCTGGGCATTGGAAATGCTGGGGGTTCAATGACATAATATTAGCAACAAGTAAACAAAGTTAAGAAGGAGTAGTGCTCTATGCCTGTGTACTAAGTTTTCGATTAATAGTGGATTATATTCAAAAATAACAACACAAGTCTTTTACAATTACAACAAGTATGAAGAGAAAATTTGCAAGTGTTGTTTATGAAAGCAGGGAGTGAGGTTCGGTAGCTACAATTGTACGCCTTTTCATCTAAAAATATCTATTTTCGTGGTGGTTCTGTCTTAATATGCGTTTTATTTCTTTACCAAAGATCATATTAAAATTTCAATAGAATAATATTCCACGAGTGTGGAAAGCTTGCTGTAAATATGCGCCATCGAATTAGTTACAGCTGTGGTTGCAAATAAGGGAGGGCGTTCAAAAAAATAAAAGGAATACGATCTCATTACATACATACTATCATATCTTTTACTAGAATAGGCATCGACTATACACCTCCGCTCGTTACACACTGACATATCCCTAAATGACCGTAAAGGAAAAATAACTCTAAATGATCATCACTAGCTACAGATTTCTTACAACGATATGACTTATTTTTATTTTACCGACGTTTCCGAACAATCCATCAGTCAACGTTTGACCAAGGAGTGGCTAACTGTTTGGATATATCCGAAAATACCTGTATATATATATATCAATACCTGTACCCTGAAAGTAGTCATAATCATTTATAAATGAATAACCGCGATTTTTAAATCATATTAAATTTTTCATACACGCTCATCTGTTAGTGTTACTTTTGACCAGGCCCTCTTTTTAATTTTAAATAACCAATCACAAAGTATTGTTGCTACGGTATTCAACACTCATTCTGGACATGGCTTTGTGCAAAAGCATAGAGGCTTGAGCTAATAAATTTGTACTGCAGTTTTGTTGGACAGATAACACATGCAGTGAATGCATACAAGATGAATACGGCTTTGTATAAAAGTGTCGAGAAATGGGCTAGTAATTTTTTAAAATAATACTTATTTTTTATCAAGCAAATGAAACTATAATATTAATATTATTTCATTAGATAAGTACTGATTCTAATGGTTAATGAAGCACGTTTAACCAATCTGTATCACGACGCCATGGATAAATAAATTTTGATATCTGTTATCAAATTTTCGGTAATTGGTATCTAATTGTAAACACATTTTTTTCCTTAAACTATTTATTACCCATAACATTCTACAAACGCTTCAAACTGCCAATAAAAAGGAAAATTAATTTCCTAATTAATTTTCAGAAGTGACAGATAAATTTAAGAATTGAGACTTTCTTACCTTTGCCCTCATGCGCTGTTGTTGCGTGTTTTTGTCTTGTTCGTTCATGTCCATCTTCCTCCCGATTGCCGACATTCCAATATCTATCTGATGAGCTATTGGTTCTTTTACTAGACTTTTCCAGTTCTCTTCTTCCCGATCGAGAGCTCGACCTTTTATCACGACCTACATAATATATAAACAACAATTGTTAATTACAAAAATATAAAAGCCGATTTCAGCAATAGTTTTTTTCAGAAATGTTAAAATTTACCACTTCTGGACGAGTAAGTTGGATCTTTGGATGATGTCCTCCTTGTGTCCCATTCCCTAGGCTTCTCCCACTGTGACACTTCACTGATACAGTTATAATAATACTTCTTTCCAGATGAACTAATGTGTTCTGACCATTCACTTCCAGAAGGTACATTTGCAGAAGGTGCACTTCTCTTGTCATATTTACTACTCCTACTAACACTAATGTTCATGCCACTAGTCCTACTCTTTTTCTCTGATTCACTTCGTTCATGATTACTTCGCTCCCTGTCACTTTCTTTGCTACGTTTCTCCTTTGGTGACCTGACACCATCTGAAACTAACATTTTAATTTTACTTTCAACTGATTTGATATGCTTAGGTAATATTAAATAACAATTCGCTTGCTATATAGTAATCACAAATTATGCAAGTATATCAGTAAATATTTTCGCAGAGCCCAAAGCATTTAAATATAAACTTTTTAACTACTACAGTCCTAATGTAAGTTTGAAAACCATTAATAAGAAACTATAAAATAAATTTGTGCAGTTGGGGTCTTTCAACTTCAAAAGTGCTATTGTTGGAAATGCACGTAGTGTACACATTAAGGAGCAAAGCGAAGCAAAAGGCGAAACCATTTTGTTTGTTATGTGCACAAATTACATACTTAAATATCTGTCTTTCAAATATGCTATTGGTGAATAAATATCAAATTAAAACTCTGTATTAATTAGTAAGCTAAGTTACAAAAACAGCTAATACACTCCCAGACTCATAAATCGAGCAACCTGGCATTTTCAGTACTAAATGCCCTAAGCAATACCAGGGAAAAACTTTTTCTTCGACAATAACACTACTTTTGTATTCTAACCCATTAAGACATTAAGACAAAAATGCAAGGTGGCTCTAATGTGTCTGGGAGTATATTTTGTTGAAACTTTTGTGTACATTTCATTTAGTACTTTCAAAACAGAGTTAAATATTTTCGAAATAATTAAGAAATCAACTCCACATTTTTGGCAATTATCACACACACTGTTTTAACAAAAAGAAAATTTCAGGCATGTTTTATATTTGTAACAAGAAGACTTTATGCAATTATCATTTTTCTCTATTTAACCAACATTATTAAATTAAGCAGAAATTTAATTGTCTATGTTCATAACTAAAAATTAATTTACTTGTTTATATTGTGATAGTAAAGCAATAGTAAACTAAGATATTTCAAAAACACATAGGCAAATATGTAAACTAAATCTAATATTTCAAATACTCTGAAACATGTTCTTAAATGATGTCATAAAGAGTTGTCAGCAGGGCAGAAATGTTGTATTGTAAGTAAATATTTACTACTAAAAAGTACAATTTTGTCAAAGATCAGCATCACAATATTTTTGTATTAAGTTTTTAGTAGTGCAACCCACATGTGCAAATAAATTGAGTAATTCACATTTTTTTTTTTTATAAAAATAAATGAGTCCTTTATGTTTGAGTGCAAAATAAAATGATTATAATTTTCAATAACTTTCAAAATGTAATACATAAATAAAATATTTATTCACAATGTTTTCTTGATTTTATACTAATTTTTAAAAATGTTCATACCATAGTATTTACAGTTCATAAAATTTTCTTAAAAATCAATTTTTATTTTGAACTGAGCATTTCTGGAAATTGGTTGCTAACATTTCATGCTCTATGTAGTCATACATATGTATAGAAAACAAATAAAACAGTATACATACAAAATAAGGAAACACCAAAGTATTATGGCAGCTTTTAGAATTTTTTAAATGACTGAAAAGCAATGTGTTAAGCTCCATAATAATTGAATTTATGAATATGTGACCAATTTACAGCGCATAGAAAATGTAACAAATAGGAATAATATACAACTTACCTGTGTACTTATTTCTAGAGGATTTGTAGTCTCTATCTCTCTCCTTTTCAGAATTTTTCGGTAGGTAAGAATTTCTAGATGTTGCATATCCTCGTTCATCGGCCACATGGCTGTAGTGGTGGTGGGCATGGCTAGAGTGACCAGAGTGTGCCGTGTGGCCGTGTGCCGACACATTGCCATTGGGGGATCGCAGCGGTGTGTACCGGTTGTCAGAAGAAACATACTCACTAGTAGTCCTTCTTTCCTTGGAATTTGTATACTTCTGTGCAGAAATTTTTAGGTAAAGCTCCTAACAGTTATCAATTATACCATTTTTTTATTTTTTTATTACCTACCATGTATATATATCTACTGCAAATTGTGCAAGTAGGTACAGTGTGATCTATACCCATTGCAAGTTGTAGTACACATTCTAATGTTTTGTTTACCTAATTAATACTAAAATACATAGCAACCTGAAGGAAGGTTAGTGTTCTATGCACTTAAAACGTAGACGCTAATGCTATTATGAAAATGATAAACTAAATAGTAAGCCCAACCATATATACCTACTAATTAGATTATCCCAGCTGCTAAAATCAAACACATATCCAAATAATATTCATCTTTATGAGCAATTACTATTACTATCGACCGAACACGTACGATAAAAACAGGAAAAGTGTAGTCAAGTACGGTTATTACGTAGAGAAGTACATATTTCAGACGGAGTTAGCCATATTCGTATGTAACTGTAGACGTAAAGATTACAATTGAATCGCTTTTATTCATTCTTACCTGATACGGATGGGCCGGATGCTTCTCAAAGTACCTGAAACCAGACATAAAGGATTAGTACAATACCTTGGCCCAATCTACAGAAAACTATCAATCGGCGACCGCCATCTACAGATTGTTATAGCCGAAGCATCTAAAATTGTATCATACCCATCACTTATTCGCTGAGGTTTCCTTGCATGCATTACCATCAATGCAAATGTACGATTTATTACGGCCTCAGTAACAAAATGCTAAACGAGACCACTGTCATTAAAACAGTTTTACAAAAGGCCGTAATATATCTTGATGGACGCCATGTCACATTCAAGAATCAAGACACTGAAGAAAGAGTCAATAGATCCGCGAAAGAGAGAAAAACTACAGACTGACGGGACTGACGAAAGCGAGTCAAATTGTCTATGGTTTCTTTTTTTGTGATCCTAATAAGGGTCGTATTCCAGAACTCTACTCAATGCTCAAGTCAGGATTTGAGTATGATTCAAAGCACTCGAAATCATACTCAAATCCCTGCTATTAAGGTCGTATTTCCAGTGCTTGTGTTTCCAGTGTAATCCTGAGTTGAGCTTTGAGTAGAGTTCTAGAATACGACCCTAAGAGAAAGAACTCACGAAGCTGTTTTGACCCGTGCCCGCTGCGGTTGAGGGACAGCTGTTTTATTTCAACACTCACGATACCGCAGGTTTGTGCGGTCACGTAGCCGCCGCGGTTCGGGACATCCCGCAAACCTGGCGGGAGCGGATCGCAAGGCGCACAGTTATTTACGGTCGATTGAGATCGTCAGTTAAGTCTCAGATGTCGCCATGGACTCACATCAAAAATGAGTTATCGCCTTATACTTATTTAATCGAAAAATTAAAAAAGGAAACTAAAAGATTCAGGGTGCATCCTCTGATTCCGGCAAGAAATCGTTACGGATTATTCGTTGTTCTTATTAATGAGTTAAAAAAACAAGAAGACGAATTCTTTAATTTTATTCGGATGTCCGTATCTACTTATTCAGAACTTTTAAGAAAAATGGTAACTGGTAGGAAATTAATTGATCGACTTCAACATCTAAAACTTGAGAAACTGAAAATCAATCACAAAATGTCGTGGGAAGGAAGTACCCAAACCGCGCGCGTGGAACGCGTCGCCCGCGAACCGACCGCAGAGTGCGCGGACGACGCCCGCCAAGCGCACGGGTGACCGCGTCACGCGCGGTTTTGCGGCCGCCGCGAGCAATCGTCTCCGCTGCGGGCGTAAAACTCGTCGTGAAATGTGTTACTAAATTTTACATACATTTCTACATTCTTTGGAGGCCGCGGTCCCACAACCGCGACGGGCGCGGGTGAAAACCGCTCCATGACTTCTTGGCCTAAGATACAAAAACCATGCATGTTTACTTTCAGGATCTTTCTAAGGGTCGTATTCCAGAACTCTACTCAATGCTCGAGTCAGAACTTGAGTATAATTTTTTTTTGCAAAAACCGATATATCGGTTGACTTTATCAGGTACATAACCAAATTAGACAATCATGGCGAAGTTTATGCGAGTAACAAAGATTTTGGTAACAGTACAAAACGACCCATTCACTACCGGTATGGCAGTCCGTCGCGCAGGCAGGAAACAATTCACACACTATGCTATATACGTATGGCACACGTATGGAGTCTTGCAGGATGACTTGCACGCTGCAACTGCAAGGCGGCCAGCAATGCAGGATAGTGAATGTCACCTTTTAACTCATTGATTTCTTGGGGTCAAACTAGCTTTAGAACACAAACTGTAAAATCACAATTACAGTGTGAATTACATCCGTGGCATTAAGCAAAAAAGAAACAGGCGTCATAATAATAAAAATCCCATATTGTCATCACCATGACAGGGTCAGTACAGGGTTAAGAGCACATGAAGCTTGACACTTATGACTTTAATCTAACTCTATGCCGCTTACGTTAAGAACGGTCCAAAGTACAAAGTGTCAAGCTCGAACTTTAAAAGATCGATTTCAAATGTAGGTTTTTTTAAATAGAAATTAAGACTAATTTGTATTTGTGGATGTTGCTCATGGAATATTCATTTTTATAAGATGTAATCAGTAAGAGCTATGAGTTATTTCAAGTAACCAGCTTAGTCCTTGTAATAACCAGTGTGCGTTGCTTTGATATAATTTTGCACTGTGCATCCAAAGAGAATAGAAAATTGTGGATCTGTCAGTGTCAGTCGGACATCTGTTAACCTCAATTTCGATTGCCACAAAATTTAACATTCATAAAAATGGCTAAACCTGTGGATCTTGAACTAAAGAAAGCTTTTATAGAATTACAAGCTAAAATGATAGAGACGAGTAAGAAGATTCAGATTATAGATTCGCAAATAGGTATGCTAAAACGCGTTTTGGCACATGTCGATATTACTCAGAACGAGATCACGAAGTTACCACCTGGTACAAAGACTTATGAATCTGTAGGGAGAATGTTTCTGTTTAACGATTTGGAAGAAGTTAAGAAAAACCTCAAAAATCGAGAAATGCAACTATCAGCTCGTACCACAGAATTGGAGAATAACAAACAGTACTTGGAGAAAAATTTGAAAGAGAGCGAAGACAACATCAGAGAAATGGTACAGCAGCGGAAAGAACAAATAGAAATTAAGACTAATTAGTATGTGTGGATGTTGCTCATGGAATATTCATTTTTGTAAGATGTAATCAGTAATTACCAGAGCTATGAGTAATTTCAAGTAATCAGCTTAGAGCCCTTGTAACAACCAGTGTGCTTTGCTTTGTAATTTACGTTATTATTTTAACATTATAATATTTTTGCTATTGAAGTAAATTAATTGTGGATACCATTGTTCATCTGTTATGATCAGTGGTCGTAATAGATAGACTATATTTACATATACTTTGAAGAACATAGACGAAAATTGGAGACTCCTTACTACAACATTTATTTGTTCCCAATTTTTTCGGGATTCAGGACATCTCTTAAGTACATTAAAAATAAACATTATTTGAGATAGGTAGGTAGACTAAATTTATCTATTATTATCATTGACTTATAAATAAATGGACGACGGGTCTAATACAAAAACCACGAAAAAAATGTCCCAAGTCAACCTATTCCAAATTTAAATTGTAATGTCATCGCAGTATCGCGCTGTCAGTAGAACAAATGAACACTAAAGCGGAGTGTCGCGCTCTGTATACGATTTTAGGGCCTTACAAGTGCGGACACTTTTTAGCGCGGACCCGACGTCCATATATTTGTAAGTCAATGATTATTATTCATGAAAAATTTCTTTTTAAAAACTGTATTGCCATTTTTTTTCTAAGAAAACAAATATGTTTTGACATTGTGAATAGGGCAAATTAATTCCATACAAATGTACTTAAAGCTAGTAAAAACAACAACTTTTAATTTTACAATGACATACATTGTATCTATTGAAATTTATTGATGAAAGTAAAATAAATACAATTTAAAAAAGGTTTAAGCTGAGTAAAGTTATTGCAGATAAGTTCTAAGACTATTTTGTTGTATGAAAAACAAGTATCATGTAAAAAAGGTCACATGCATAAAACAAGCAAATATTACAATAAATATATCTTGCCAGTTTTTTATATAGGATCATTTTTAAAATGCTCACAACCTCGCAGGACTGTAACTTTGTAAACAACAACTTTTGCTTTATGACTTTTCGGGTGAGAGAGTGCAATATCGCAGTCCTGCTGTGATAATTTATCACCAAGTCTACAGTGAGTAAATAATTTTACCATAATTGTCTTTCTTATTATGACATGAAAATTGAGTCAGAAAGTTAAAATGTATACCTAAACATACATGAAGAGTCAATGTGATAGTTTTAGGATCCCGGAAGAATGTCCATAAATCAACAGTATGTTTGAAATAAATACTTGATAATTCTAATTTCAACATGCGTGTATTAAGAAAGAATTCTTTTATATTGAAAAATCCGAAATTCCCGAAAAATGGTTGCAATAACAACTCTTCGCAAGTTTAGATAAATTTAGTCGACCTGCCTATCCCCAATAACATTAATTTTTAATGTACTTAAGTAATGTCCGGAACAAATAAATGTTGTCATAAGGAAATCTCCAATTTCTGTCTGTTCCTTGAAGTTTAGGTAAATAAGTCTACCTATTCCGACCACTGCTTATAAGTATACCTGATTTCAGATGAATAAACTTGCAAAAAATCTTACTTTTGATCATAATAACTATAACATTGATTATAGGACAAATCTCTTGCAACAACTATATGATTTAACAGCATCTAATGTAATAAAATGAATGAAATAAAATTCAAGGAAAAATATGAATGGATTTGCTTTTTCTTTTTGACCCAAAGTACCTTACCTAGCATATAAAATCCATGGTATACTTCTAGCCTCTATACTTTGTTAGACTTAACTAGAATGTTACATAATATGCAACATAAACCAAGATGGCCATTTACCAAAAACCATTTAGACCCAAGACTTAAGTAAAAGATTCATCCCTTGTGGACTTGTTATTTTTACATTTGTAGCAGTCATCTACACACTGGAGTTTAAAATTTTACTTTTACAATGTGGTGACAGAATCACCAAATTCAGCATTATTCATTTTGTATGAAAAAACTTTTTGTTAAATTTGACCCACTTCTGCAGTCTCGATTCTTTTCGCCGACTACAATGAAATGATCCTAACAGAGTCGTTTAGTTTTTAAATTTGATCAAATAATTTTATTCATGTTTATGGCCGACTCACACTTAACCAAATAATTGACTATTGACTGTGAACTGGCAATCGGTACTATCTCAATTTTAACGACTTTACAGGTGAAGAAAAAAATTGTTTGCGTCATTTATAATCTGGTTTATTAAATAAAAATACTTAGTTTTTAAATATTTTTATTATACATGTATGTATGTACTACATACGTACACTACGTATTTTTATTTAATAAACCAGATGCTATATAAATTATTATTTCTTTATCCTGTAAAGTAAAAATTAAGACATTACCGGTTGCCAGTTCTCAGTCGCTATGTCGTTATATTTTTTAAATTCAATTAAAAGATAGTTTCATTACTTTAATTGTATCAGTTTTATCTTATATATATAGTTGGTGTCTTATATTAATGGAATAATCGCCTGGGCACACTTAACGATTACACCCTGTTTAATATGCTTTAAAATTTGGTAAGTTGACTATTTCAGAAAATTGAAAACCACTGCTGTTTAGCAACATCATTATAATTTTCATTAAAAATACTAAGGAACACATTTCAAAAAACATTGTTGCTGTAGTATATAAAAATTGAGGCAGGAATATAGCAATATGCTGTAAAGTAGTTCAATATAGCTGCGGCGTTGATTGGACTAGTAGGGTCAAGTACATCGTAGCGCGTTTTCCCTATTAGGGAATAAGTAACGTTTTTGAATATCAACATGTGAATATTAGAGCCTACGTACACGGCGTATTTTATACTCGCTGACGAAGCGCGTTTACGGCGCCACTCGTACGGCGCCGGCGGCGCGCGGCGTATACACGCTGCCGCTGTAGTAAATCGATTCATACGCGCGCAAACATCGCGTTGTAAGCAAGAACCTTATATGTTCCACTGGAGTTTACACTTAAAATTTCATGTAGTTGCTTCATTTAAAAAACTAACATAAATTAACAAATAAAACTATTTCTTAATAAAATGCGCGACACATACGCGACGCATAAAACGCGGCAAGTTCGGTAGCGACATTTTCATAATGAATGGTTATAGCAACTTAATATACATAGACAGTTATTCACACCGGATACAAGCAACCGGCAATTAGAAGCGAATATTCTATTTTCATACAAATGCGATTACGGCAACTGGTGACTGTGTACATTTCACATAAATTGTATGAAAATAAAATATTCGCTTCTAGTTGCCGGCTGCTTGTATCCAACATAAGACATTAGTTTGCGCGGCTTCTAAGGGCACGTTTGAGGACGTTTTTGTAAAAAAAAAAATTATTTTCGAATGTTTTATTTTCGTTTTTACACAAGAAGATGTTTTTTAATATTCCATAATTGATCTTAATACAATATACTATATGTATTCATTAAATTTAATATTAAAGTAAAATTAAACTTGATTATGAATCTAAAATGAAATATACTTAATTTCAAAATGATAATAATGTGATGAACCATATTGTAATAATATTTATGTACAGAACTATACATATGAATTAAATAGAAATTTAACGTAAAATTTCAAATTATTACATAACAATTATATATGTAACTTTAAAAAGCGATAAGTGCAGTAAATTAAAGCAAAATAAGCATTGAGTTAAAATTATATTAATATAATATATATTGCTTATTAATATTTCACATTAAACATGTATGTATGTCTCTACGTACGAACAGATGTGCTACTTCAGAATAAGCTAATATAATTATAAGTATGCACTCTCCTTAAAAATCTTCTATTCCCACAATTAATGTAAACAAACTGGGTTGAAACCTAAATTTAAAATATTACCTTGAAAAACAATTTGTTCGCAGTTTTAATCATAATAATAAAATTAATAGGTACACTTAATTAAATTAACGATCACTCTAATCAACTTAATCAAATAAATACATACATGCTCTAAACAACACTGCCCTCCTTATTATAACTAACGTAATTGATATTTTTAGCGAAATTGGGTTATTAACACGTTCTGTGGGGTCAGCGCCACGAGATCTACAACCCCTATACAATTTTATTTAGTTTTAGTTTTATTGTTAAGCAAAATCAGCGTAATTGACATTTTTTTACTCGCAATTAACATAGGTAGTAAAATATTTTTTGTGATATTTATGTTTAGAAACCCAGACAGAAGAAACTACTAAGCATAACTATCGCATTTGCAACAAGTTCTGCATAAAACGCAGTCTCTTTCACAGAGTCTCGTCGTTTCACCGTTTCAAACTACTTGCAATGGACCTGTCATCCAGTAAAGACTGCGGCAGATACATTGAATCCATGGTCATTTTAAACCATGTAATGAAATGCAGATTTATTCCCTGAAAGCTAAAATTCGTTACTTTCCATCATTAAGTCGTTTATTTAAATGATTAAAGAAATTTATAAAATGTAACCTGAATTCAAGATTTAATTTTTTAACTGAACAAGTATTTTAAGTTAAAGAAGAACTAATTATGTGACTAATAAAATCATTTTCCTCATTAAGCCAACATTTAGTTTATGAAAAATAACGGGTTTTTTTTATTTAATTAGTATTTATGTCATTTATTTCAATTATATCGAATTACCACGAATTTACAAGAGTTTGTAAGTCGTGAAGGACATACTTGCTGCAATTAAGTTGGGTGAAAAGCACTAGGATCTAAAGTCTTGCATACTTTTGCTAAGCATAAACAACTCACTATGATGCTACTAGTAATCAACATTATCCTTGCTTCATTTAAGTTAGTTATGCGGAGTAAAGTACTGTTAGCTTCCAAGTTCATTAGTTACAATCAATTTTTGGGCATTATAAGTTTTTATTAAAAATAATATACAAATGAATCGACATAGAAATGAAGATTATGATCGTAGGCACCCAACATTAAAATAAATGAAATAGGTAAATAAAGCATTTACGCAGCATAATTATATATAGCAAGAAAATGAAGGTACAACAAATAATGTACTGAAAAGGTTTCGCCTCAGGACAACGCTGCCAACTTTATAAGTTTGCAGCGCTGATATTCTGCCGACACCTAAATGGTTGCCCAAGAACATCTAGTGCAACAGTTGCACTACAAATCCGCTACTATTACAGATGGAATAAGAACACTCTCAAGGTTGAACCGCTGCACCCGATGCGCCGCTATCAGCTCAACAACTTACTTAAATAAAAATGAAAATATATTACAAGTACAAATACACAGACAATATATAAAAGTAAAAGCATACAACATTAAACATTCACTTCAAAGTGTAATTAGTACAGTAAGTACTTATACAAAAAACCAAAAGCTTAGTATATTGAAGGTGTGCGGTTTGTATATGTTGGGTGGCTTTTCGAACTGAGACGAAAAGACATTCAAAACATTAAAACGTACTTTTATACGACGTGCGTAAAAACCACTTATAGTTTTCTCATAACAACAAAAAAGTGAAAAAAAGTAGTTGCAAATATCTAGAAAGCTACCGTAATGCAAATGCGTTAGTTATGACAAGGAGAGCAGAACGGCAACGTGTAATAGTACGTAGTCAGGGCTTAAACAATTAATAATACAACTTTTAAACAAAAATCATAATCCATCGGAAGCTTGTCTTGTTATAAACGGTTAATACTTACACTATGCTATTGTAAATAAGAAACATCGATAAAATACTTCAGAAAAAATGCTATTTCAAATCTACGAACAATATAAATTACAATTTTCTATAACAATGGTCACATTTATGATTAATAATGTTAAATTTAGTAATATGGATACACCACGAAAGAAATTTTCTAAGTATACATTTCTAGAGCCATGAGGGTCGATTGATCGAGTCGAACGGCTGCCGTACGCTGAGTCCTGTCGGGTATCCTGGGTAGAGTCCCATTATTTGCGCGCCAGTCTGACGAAGCAGCTCCTCCTGGTGTCGTTGCAAGTATTGCTGGTATAAGGGCGACGATGGGTCTGCGCCCACAAATGGGTATCCTGCACGTACCTGCGTATGTCCAATGTATGGAAAAGATCCACTTGTATGAGTCGAATTTTGGTGAGCTGGTTTCACGAGTTTTTCAACAGCAGCTGCTTCCGCGTTGTTGCGTTGTTGATGGGCCACTGCAGCTGCCATATAATTCGCTGCCATCAGTTGATTAGCCGTAGAGTTTCTTAAGTCCTCGATCGAAAATCCGGTATTGTCTCCGTACAATCCACTGCTAAGTGTCATATTTGCAGAGGTTCCAAAATTAAAAGCACTTCCAGGCATCATACTAGTTTTCACAGATGACAAAACATCTGTACCACATGATGACGAATAGCCCTGACCTGTCATGACTGGCATTGGTTTAGCATCTGACGTTCTTTTCTTTTTAATTTTCGCTTTTGTATCAGCTTGGATGTTTGAGATGTTAGTAGAAGTTTTGTAAATACCATTGTCTTTTGTTATTGCAGCAGATGGTTCCGAATACATTGAAGCCGATGTGCTTGCAGAATGAACATCGGACGACATGCTTTTGTTGAACATTTGAGCCATCTGGAAAGTTTTGTCATGGTACAATGACGATGGGCTTGCAAAAGTTGATAAATATCTATCATCGTTAGAATATCGCTCCAACATTTGAGGCAAGTTTCGTAAACTGTCAAGAGGATGTGATGAATGTGCACTGTACGTGGTTTTGTACGGAATAGTGCCGACAAGAGGATGATTTTGGACATGTTTGTCAGGTTTTTGAGATTTGGCGAGGGTATCTATATTCTTAGCTATAAGCTCGGTATCGGTGATTGAAGAGGCAACCGCCATTTGGTCGTGTTTTAGATGACCTCGAGGATTCGGTATTCGAAGTTCCGAGGGAAGATTTTGTTGTAACTCTTGTGTTCGCTGAAGACCAGTTCTAGGTACATTGTAATTATTATACTGTTGTTGTATATTTTTGTAATTAATAGCAGATGTATTATTAGGTGAACTGATGTCAGTTTTCAATTTTTCTACGCTAGTCGCATAGCTGTTGGAATAGTCTGAAGGAAGCATATCCTGTTTTCTAATTGCATTTGACATTTTCCAATTTCCATAATCAAGGGCTGCTGTAGAAGATGCAGGATTACAAGTAAAAAGTTTTTTATTTGCTAACTCGATATCATTTAGCGAAAAGTTGCTTATTGATTGTCCGCCAGTAATAGCGTCGTATTGGCTGTGATAGACATGCGCCAAGTTCTGGTTCAGAGCTTCATTGTGTGTTCTCTCATGTACGTGAGCGGGTGGAATGGTAGGCGTACCAGGTTTGGGATGTGCCTTCTGTGCGTGCTGACTGTTAAGGCCAAGATTAATAGCAATTGCTTCAACTTCATATCCCTTTTCTTGTTGATTTAAGTTAGTTTTTTGTATATCCCTCGCAAAGTCTTCGTGAGCATCGCCACTACTACGTCTCTCACTTTCTGGGTTCATGTAGCCCATGTTAATCATATCTACACTATCATTCTTAATTATTCCGATAGGTTTATTAATGTCCACGGTAGGGTGATCTTTCTTAATGTGTGCGGAATCGTTGTTCTCGTAGTGAGTGTTGTCCCTTGTTTCAATGTTATGACGATCATTATAACTAGAGCCTTTCTCTCGAAGAGAATTCAATTTGGCCATTTCTGACTTTTCACTCAAGGCTAGTGCAATGTTGTCCACTGATGAAGTTGGTAACGACGACATTGAATGTAGCGATTGAGATATTTTCTGGTACTCATTTTTATTCTGTACAGTGCCGGGAATATCTTTAGATTCAGATGGCTTTTTAGCAGGTATCGGATCTGGTTCATTGTACGTGCGTTTTTTAACAGGGAAGAGTGTAGCTTTAGGGTCTGGCATCGTTTGTGGAATATTTACTTGTGAAATTGGATCGGGAGTCGAGGTTTGTGGTGAATTTTGAACATGTGAATAATTTGAAGCTTGCGTTTGTGTATAGGGTGAATGTGATGGAGAATATTGGCTATTATATTGGTTCTGTTGGTAGGTATCTGTACCTATAGATGGATATTCGTCGTGCCCTCGAGTATGTTTGTTAACAATGGCCGCCTTTGAGGTGTCATAATAGGTCGGTGGGTTTTGACCATAAGAAGGCAGCGGGCTTTTGTTGTGATCCACAAAGTAGTTAGGTGTAGATGAACCCATCGCGTTATTCGATGCATATACGTGTTGAGAGTAGGGTGAATATGGTGATTGTGGCCCTTCACGCGGACTGCAGCTTTTTTCTGGGCTGCTTTTGATTGAAGTAGTGTCTTGATAAAATCCAGCGCGAACAGTACCATTGATAATGGGATATGTGATCTTTTGGAAGTCGTCAGTGCGCGGGGACGCTGGTGATCGCAATAGAGGAGAAGTGTGGGACATCTGATGTCTAGGAGAATCAAGATCCTGGCTGAAAGATGATCTTTCGGAAACCGAACTTCCTGTGCTGGTTCTTCTTTGCCTTGGCGTTGCTGACACGCTAGGCAAAGGACTGTCGCCACCTTCTGGATTTGGCGTATACGGATCAATAGGGGAGTCATATTTTGTTGTATTTTTAGGACTGACAGATTTATTATCAGATGCGGTAGTATCCGTTGCCTTTTCCTCGGTTTCGGTGTCTTCCACTTTCTTTTTGACAGTTGTCGTAGTAGTTGTACTTTTAGGAGCACCAAAGGCTTTAAACCATGCACTGAGATTAGGAGTGGCTTTTTCTTGGCTGGGTTTAGTAGAGTCACTAACACAATGTTCTGTTTCAACTTCAGCATCTTTTTTATTCGATTGCACAGGTTTCTCTTCAGTTTTCTTTTGTATTGGAACTTCTTCGCGTTTATTAGCGAACTTTTCGGCTTCTGTTGCCTTTGGAGATTCATTTTCATCATCTTTAATTTCATTATTAACAAAGTTATGGTCATTACCCAAAGTGAAATCTACCGTTTGCAACACAGAGCCAAGGCTTAGTTTTGGACTTGATTCCTCGGTTTTAGTAGCATCGCGCACTTTACTGAGGGGTCCTGAGGGCGCTGTCTCTTCAGTTTTTTCTGAGTTTTTGTTGCTTAAATTGGTTAGCAAATTGCCTTTACTTTTACCTGGTTGCAATCTGTCAATTGTTCTTTGTATCTCTCGACGTTTCACAAGTTTTGGTTCTCGTGACGAAGGTCTTTTACGAGTAACTTCTTTACGAGTGTTTGTAGACTTTTCACTTTGATTAAATTCATCATCTAGCCGACTGTTATCATGCTCTTCTGTGGATATGGTTTGAGCGGGACTATCACAAGGTGAGCTTCCTACAGAGCCTTTTGGAGCATCGTCAAGCCACTTACTAATATCTTTAACAGCTTGTTCCAAAGCTTCAGAAGCCGACTCGTTTTTGGCAGTATTTTTTTTGTAACCTTTATTCTTGCACCGTTGGTTGTCTACGCTGTCGTCATCCGAAAAAGGATTTTCTTCACCATCATTACCAGGGGAATCCTTCTGTTGTTGGCTAGAGTCAGAATTTTTATCGGTGTTTCCGTGACTTGAAGTGAATAAGCTGTTGAAAAGCGACGTTTCTTTGTATTTCTCATTTTTCGCTTTAAGCTTCTCGATAGTCTCTCTTAATTTGGGATTTTTGTCTTTTTCGGGTACAGTCAAATTTTGTTTTTGTTTATCGCCGCCAGGTTTTTGTTTGTGATCAAAAAGAGTATCCCATGCATCCTTAGCCGCATGTCTTCTTCGTTCCTTTATCTTGTCATATTTATCTTTATAGAATTCTGAGTCATTGAGTTGGTCTGATAGTTCAGTGGGCTGATCAAACTCTGTCGGCGACGGTGACGGAGTATGTATAGACGGCAAAGGACTAGCACTTCTGCTTCTATTAGAGCTTTCCAGCGATTCCTGCGATACAGCACGCTCCAGTTGTGCAGGTGGTTCTGGTTTATTTTTGTTCTTCTTCTTTTTCTCTTTAGATTTTTTACCTTCTTTGTCTTTATTTTTCGAATGCTTCTGTTTTTTACTATGTTTGCTGGTGGAATGCTCGCTATGCTCGGACTTATGAGAATCTTTGCGGTGGTTTTTGGAATGTTTGCCATGACGATGGTGGTGTCTACGATGATGCCCTTTGTGCTTCTTCTTATCTTTACCTTCTTTGCTTTTATGAGATTCTTTAGACTTCTTCGGTTCAACTTCAGCATCCTGAGGTACATCCACTTTTTCTTTATTTTGAATAGGTTCAGCTGCTGAACTCGATTCTTGATCAGTGGGTTCCGAGTGAGATTTTCGTTTTTTCATTTTTTGTCTACTTGGAGATTCACTAGGCTTTAATTTATGTTTTCTGGAAGGCGTTGGTAATTGATACTCAACGGCAATTTCTTCATCCGATGATGAAAGCCTGTGTATGTATTTCTCGGTAAGACGATCAAATTCTGCCTGTAAGTTGCTCACCATTGTTGTGTATTCATTGACTTGGCCGTTATACAATCGACAATTATTAACAATGAGCTTAAAATCAGCTTGAAACATGGAGAAATCGGTGTAATACCCGCTGTCAAGGCGTTCTTCCATTGTGTGGAGATTCATGGGGCGTCGTATGACTTTGTAATAGTTTGGAGCATAGTCTTCCTCTACGGGATCTACAAACGGCCATGCGTCATCGTGTGCTGTCAATTGGTCAAGAACTTTGTACATGTCTGTTTGTATATCTTCTTCAGTTTGAGTAAATCTGGAATAAAAAGAACATTATAATTTAATAATGAGGTTTTTCTGGCACTGGCATGTTTATACACTAATGTAATATGAATAAAGTGTGTATTACTCACATTTGAGACTTTTTCAACTTTCTCCTTGTGCTGTTGACGGGCTCGACATTTTCAGGTATGACGATTTGCCCGGTGGCCGCTGCGAGGGAGTTATTTGTTTTCCTTCCCGTTTTGACCGGCGGCTCTGGTGGCGGCTCGCCCTTGTGATTAGCCGAAGAATTTTTCGACCGCTTATCTTGGCTCTTGGAACGTTTAGACATATTTTCAGGCGTAACTTCTTTTTCCTGTGCAGAGCTATCAGAGTTATTAGACGAAGCTGATTTAGATCTGAAACAATAAAAGAATGATTACTAATTTCATGTCAGACAGATTCACTTTTAAAACTTGCATTTTATCGGTGCGTACATTATATTAATAGTGAAAAATAAAGCTTCTTTCATTGTTGAACAAGTCGCATAATTTAAAGTAAGTATAACCTCTGCAATAGAAGCTGCAAGCAGCGCTAGCTTAGCGCTGTGACCTGTCACATATCGTCGCCGTACTTTCTCAAACTCGTATCTTATATATAATATCGTATTGTATCTTGTATAGATTATTTAAGAGATGGCAAAACTTTCTATTTATTTCAAATTTCCTATCAAGGGTATTAGTTTGGATGTATTACTTTAAGGATATGCAGTGAATATGAAGGAAATGTGATATAAAATCATGTAACAATAAAAGGTAATTAAAAATACTGACATTAAAATGAAAGTACCAAGTTCTTCATCGGTACTATAAAACTTATGAAAAAATACTAAAAAAAAATATTATTACAGCAAAAAAAAATACAATACATAAATATAGTAAAAAATCATCAAATAAGGCCAAAAAAATGTGGGACATCATAAACGAAAGAACAAACAAAAAAATTGACTAACATAAATGTAATATTATTATGAGAATTAACCCGCCAACAGTTTCAATAACTTTTTTTTTTTCGCGAAAAGCGAAATTCATAATCCAACAACTGGTCGCTCAGTGCTTTACCCTACTTGCGAAGTGTATAAAATTATAATACAATTAACAAACAAAAATCGCTATGGCGTACATGAATTTCCTCCTACATTAATAAAACATTGTGCAACGGAATTCGCATTACCATTTGAAATGCTTATTAATCAATCGTTAACAAAAGGAACTTTCCCTGAACTATTAAAAAAATGTCTGACTACAACCGTACACAAGAAAAATGAAAAATGTAACTCAAACAATTATCGGTCTATGGCTATAGATATATAGGCTTTTGTCCACAGCTTCGAAAATAATCAAAAAAGCCGCGTGGAATCGTGTCCGAATACAATAACTAAAAAACAATACCCAGAAGGAATATTTAAGTACAATAAAGTCCAATTTGATATACTACTTATAAAGTATTAACTGGTTTATAATGTTCGTACTATAGATTTTAGGTTTTTTTCACCCTATTATCGGATTAATGTGGAATGTGGAAAAGGAACCTAGTTCATATTTTTTTCTTCAGCTGATTTGACTGTGCTTTGATATGTCATTCAGGACTTACTATTTCATATATACTCGTACATGGATTAATATTGAAAAGTTAAGAAAAGCAAAAGTTCATAATCTGTAGTATATTTCTTCACTAAAGTAATGCAGAGCGCAAAAGGAGGAGTAGGCAATTTATAGTTTGTAGTCTTGATATCAAACTCTAGGATGTTCGTATCGAACTTGAATGGTGCAAGAATGAAAGGTTGAGTTTTAGGGTCATATTCCAGAACTCTACTCAATGCTCAAATCAGGACTTGAGTATGGTTTAAAGCACTCGAAATCATACTCAAGTCCCTGCCATTAGGGTCTTATTTCCAGTGCTTGTGTTGCCAGTGCATTCCTGTCTTGAGCATTGAATAGAGTTCTAGAATACGACCCTAAGAAAAAGTCAAGACCGTGTCACGCAACGGTATAAACTAATACAAGGGTAGCGATATAAATAGAGTTCGCTCGAGTTTGCGTGTATTGTTTGGTATTTGCAACACTTGATGTAATTCGTTTAAAAGTTGATTAATCCCTAAGCAATGACTGAGCCTAAATGAGCCAATTATACAAATGAGTTTTAACCGGTTCTAGTCTCTTAATTGCACTCAAAAGATTCAAATTTCATGCAACTTTTAGTTAGTCCTTGTATACTTCATTTACTTGTTCTAATTACCAATATATCTTGTATAAGATTCCTAATTAAAACTTGCTAGAACAGTTTTAGTTCTGAATTTACCCGTCGTTACTATTAGAAGCACGGGTTGACTTCGATAGACTTGTATAAAGGATGTTAGTCGAGGAAAATGCAATCAAGACAGCCTCGATGAAGGCTTTAACTTCAAAACCTTATTGCAAATTGAATCCTGTGAAACTTCGTTCCAGTAAATTTATATATCTATCTTCTCTGTAGACTTCATCTGGTGTACAAGATTTGTATTAACGTGTAAAACAAAGGCCTCAATAATAGCTTTAAAAACTTTTCAGTAATGTCTACTTGTTAACGAGAAATGAAATGGTTTCAATTTGTACACACGCCAGCACATCAAGCTACACATTGACGTATCTTGTTTCGTTGCAATGGAGGGATTTTCGAACAAAAATGAGTAGTCTGATGTGCCGTAATCCGTACCGAATAAAAGTTAAATTTATGAATTAAAAAAATTCTACAGAACTCGTGCACTAGGGTGCAGTAATTTGTGTAACACACAATTACTTATGTTTAATATGCATTGACGTAAAAAAATAAAGCTTAAAACGAAGTTTTTGTATAGGACTTGAATTTTTACCGTTTAGTTACCAAAAAGGAGAAATTCGACAAAGTGCAGGAGAAGAAACGCATTTTAAAGACAATAGAGAACCAAAGGGAAAGATGTTTGGGCATGTGATACGACGCGGTTGTTTTCTCAGAAGCATTATAAGAGGGCCGACCGAAGAAAACGAGGTAAGGCAAAATCTAGACCAAATTATTTAGATCAAATAAGAGCATTTACGTCGTGTCGTATTAGCAATTCAAAAATGTAAGGTACTGAACAAAGGCAGAAAGTCACACGCTTGCGCTCGTATTGCGCCAAGAGACAATTCTACGCAACTTATAAATGCTCACTTGTCATTTACGATGAAGTTAGCAGGATTCACTTACTTAGTTGTAAGTTTGTACTTCGTGTATAGTATAATAATAAAGTATTATTTTATGGTATTTTATATTTTACAGTATATTTAACAGCATGTGGAATATGCAGGTTGCCGATCGGAACCGTATTTAACGAAATCGGGCGTGAGTCAAGTTAGTAATTTGGGACCAGTAGAGTTCATTATAACGACCAACGGTCTGCCTGGCGTAATCAGAAATGCCAGGTGTCTGCTGTTCGCCGATGAACTCAAGCACGCTCTGGAAATCAAGGCCATGGAAGACTACGTGTGCCTTCTGCAGGACACGGACCGAGTGATTGAATGGAGTCAAAGTAACAAAGCTTAACTCAATATCTCGAAATGTTTAATCATAACATTGAGCCGTTTAAGACTACCGCATCAGTGTAAATACAAAATAGAAGGATTCATGAAACGTACCTACAGGCATGATGGTATGTATCCAATCTTGTCTTGTATTGGGTATGGTAGGATACAAAAAACTGGAACAGAGAAGGGACTTGGCTCTTGCAAGCTATATAATTCGAGTGTTGCGAGGAACTATTTCAAACTCAAAGGTATTGCAATGACCAAGTCTGTGCGTACCCTGCACGTACTCAACGTGCACCTACTGTGCGACTAATTTCCTAAATAAGACGCCCTTTACTCGCGCATTCATACGCTAAATCGAGTAGCTGACGTAGTAGACTTTTTGCTTGTTTTGAGAGAGAATTTGTAAGGGTAACACTTTCTGTAGTACGAATGAATTATTGTTCTTTGTTATTATTATTGAATAAAATTGCCATTTACTAATAATTATTAATCAGTACTATTATTATTTTATATAATAGAAATGCGAAACTTATTTTGGGACAATTCTGTAAAAATAGGTGTATGTGCGAAATAAATAAATAAATTTTATGGTAGACCTCCAATTCTAGCCTACATTAAATATACAACTGTAATTCGTCACCTACCGTACACAGTGCGCGTAGCTATCGAGCGTACCCTGATAAAATAAGGTAAATAGTACTATCTCTGACAAAAATGCTATTCGAGTTAGAAGAAAACGGCCAAATTGGAAATATTCCTTTGAAATTTACGCAATAAATGAGTAGCTAATTCACGTAATTGGGGATGGGGACACACAGCGACAAGGTGACAAAAGGTGGTGAAATAGAACGTGTCAACTTACGTCTTGCTTGAAATTGCTTAAGGTCCGACCATAGTGGCCAATTGGCTTCTTTTAATTGTAAAATGAGCAAGAAGGTAGACCAATTTCTCTGCAGACCGATTACCACAGAACGAATAATTAGATTTCAAAACAATATCGGCAATAGTTTAAATTCCTTATCCCATATACCGGAGGATCCAAATACTTTATATAACACGATATTTGGTTCAATTAAAAATGAATTTGACAATATATTTAAATCGAAAACATTCCATAGAGAGACTAAATTCAACGACTGGGCAACAGTAGGTATTCATAAGAGTAGGTCTCGTTTGTATGAGCTATATGCTATGAAAACTTACAATACTAATTCCAATTTCATAGAATATGTTAGAATTTATTCGAAAATATTTAAAAAAGTTTGTGTAGCTGCTAAGGTTAAGTTTCACAGCGACAAAATTAGACAATCGATAAATAAATCTAAAACTACTTGGAGCATAATAAATAAAGAGTCAGGCAGGGTTAAACTACACGATAGAGATATAGTTTTAGAATTAGACAGCAAACTTATAAAATCTAAAGATAATGTAGCCCAAGCTTTTGAATCGTTCTTTTCGGAAATTGCTGTGAACACTACAAAATCATTGAATTCCTCCCCTTCACTTGCTATTGATCTCCTAAAGGAAAATGTTAACGTTTGTGGCAGTTTATTTAATTTTCGTCATGTTAATCCACAAGACATCATAAAAGCTTTTAAGTCAATACATGTTAAAAAAACTGAAGATCTCTGGAGCATATCAACTAAAGTTATAGACTCAGTTATTAATCTCATTTCCCCACAGTTAGCTGTAGCTTTCAATAGGTGCGTTGACGAAGGTGTTTTTCCCGATTTAATGAAATACAGCAAGGTTATTCCCTTATTCAAAAGCGGTAGGAAAGTTGATCCTAGCAACTACAGGCTCATTTCAATTTTACCAGCTTTAAGTAAAATATTCGAAAAGGTTATGCTAACTCAATTACTGTCCTATTTCGGTAGGAATCATATTTTTCATAATGACCAATACGGGTTTACTAGTGGTAGATCGACTAGCGATGCGGGGGTAGCGTTACTAAAACACATCTTTGATGCTTGGGAAAGGTCCCAGAACGCTATTGGTGTTTTCTGTGACCTCTCAAAGGCATTTGATTGCGTTGATCATAATACTCTTATTAGGAAGCTGGAACATTACGGTGTAAATGGCAAGGCGTCGAAACTTGTCTCGTCATATCTCAACGGTAGAATTCAGAAAGTAGACATAAATGGAGTGACTTCTTTGGGTTCTCCAGTAAAAATGGGTGTTCCGCAGGGCTCAATACTTGGACCTTTCTTATTTCTGATTTATATTAATGATCTGCCATTCTTTGTTAAGGACCATTGCGAAATAGTGTTGTTTGCTGATGACACATCCTTGATTTTTAAAACAGACAGACATGACATTAACTATGACCGTATTAATGGTACACTCTTATTTTATTTCTTTTATTCTTAGTTTATTGGTTTAATGCTAACAATTTATTGCTTAATGCCAAGAAGACAAAATGTGTTAAATTTGAATTACCTAACGTAAAATCGACTAGTCCAAGCATTGACTTACAATTATATGAACGTCGGGTCCGCGCTAAAAAGTGTCCGCACTTGTAAGGCGCTAAAATCGTATACAGAGCGCGACACTCCGCTTTAGTCTTCATTTGTTCTACGGACAGCGCGATACTGCGATGACATAACAATTTAAATTTCGAATAGGTTGACTTGGGACATTTTTTTCGTGGTTTTTGTATTAGACCCGTCGTCCATTTATTTGTAAGTCAATGAGTCCAAGCATAGAAATAAACGGAGAAAAGTTAGACCTTGTTAATAAAGCAGTCTTCTTGGGAGTGACCTTAGATAGTAAACTTCAGTGGTTTCCACATATATCGTCTCTGGCCAGCAGATTAAGCTCCGCTGCATACGCAGTCCGCAGAATACGTGAGCTTACCGATGTTAGTACTGCTAGACTAGTTTACTTTAGTTACTTCCATAGTATAATGTCCTACGGGATTCTCATGTGGGGTAAAGCGGCAGATATTCAAACCATATTTGTATTGCAAAAACGAGCGATTCGTTCTGTGTACCGTCTAGGCTCTCGGGTATCTCTCAGAGAAAAGTTTAAGGAGACTGGTATCATGACTGTGGCATCACAGTACATTTACTCAAATATTTTATATGCCCGTAAAAATATACATAATTTCAATAAGAAAGAAGATATCCATAATATTAACCTTAGAGCTAAGTCCAAACTCATGGTACCACGATTTCGTTTAACCAAGGTAAACAACTCTTTTATGGGAAACTGTATACGTTTTTACAATAAGATTCCGGAGCATATATTAAGTTTATCATTTCCTAAGTTTAAAAACTACATTAAAAATATTTTGATCGAAAAATCATATTACAAAATTGAAGACTACGTGTTAGATAAAGATGTATGGAAAGACGACATGGCTCCAGATTCCACACAAATTTGATTCCAATTGTATTCCATAGCATTTAAGTTTATTTGAAAAGAGCAATCCCTAGAGTTTCTTGCTCGTTCTTCTCAGGGAGGTCAGCGTAGTGAACGAGCAGTAGCTTAAATGCGACGTTTTCAAGTGTAAATTTATTTCACCTATGGAATAAATAATCTTTGACTTTGACTTTGTCTCTGGGTGACGGGCGCAGTGGCAGTGCCCCATTGACCTACCAACAAATTGAAATCGGGTTCGCGCTAAAAGGTGTCTGAACCTAATAGGGCGTTAATATCGCATACAGAGCGTCAATCACGCGTCTTCGTTTGATCATGCAGTACTATATAATAATAACTTGTAAAATTACTCAAGTTCAGTGAAAAAATAGGATTTTGTATCATATTTTCACTTAATACATATACTGTGTATCTATCTTTTAAAAGTGTTATTTTGTACAGTTGTATAGTATTTCATTTATATTTAAATTAATCGTAAACATAAATTACAAAAAGCAATCAAACTAATAAAATAAAATAGTTAACTGTCCTTTTTCTACACATTGCAAGCGCAAAAGACGGAAAGAGACCCAGTACGTCAATTTGAAAAAGCTTAGTAAACTTCTTGGTCCATGTCAATTGTTCGAACCACAAGCGATAGAAACATTTAAAACAAAATAACTTTAGAGTCGCTTTGATTTCAATCTTATTTTCAAATGATTTTTTATGAAACCTTAGCAATAACTAACAAAATATTGTTGTACTCGTTTTACGTCTTGAGGTTACCTATCAGAAGTCAGAAAATAAATTCGCTGGAAATAAAGTTTGCTCGAATTTTTATAATCCCAAATGTATTTTTTAGGAACATTATGAAACAAACCTACATTAGGCTAATTTTTTCCTTGCGATAAGTATCCAAAATTACCTGAAATCATGGCGGTTCTATTATAAATCGGTTTTCGGGATTACAGATTTTAGTTGGATTCTAGCAATTCGAAATATCGGTACATTTCTTATATATAGCACGTCATTACTAACAAACGGAGAGACACAGTTATTTTCACATTTATAATATTTGCATGAATGTATCTGCCCAAAAGTTTATTATTTCTTCGTCGTCTTCGTTATCACAGGCGCAAACATATAACGACCGGTTTACAGCGCGCATCGCCGATATTGACTGATTAGTGAATTCGCATCACACTTTCACACTGACGATTTGAGTTGTTGTGGTCACTTAGATTTTGTTAAAACGATAAGTTTATTCGATAATACAAACAAATACACCACAAAAAATGTCAACAGTGAAAAAAATAGCCAATTTAGCAATATTTTAATATCAGTGCTGTTTTGATTTCTTTTTTTTTTTGCTTACTGGCGTGCTGTTTGTTTGTTGTACTGAATGCAAATTTCTAGTGGTGGAGAAGCAAAATAAAACAGTTAATAACTTTTTGTCAATATTAAAATTTCTAGTTGTTATTTCTAGCACCTGATAAGGATCGTTGGTTACTCTTTTGTTTCAGTTTGATTTCATTAATTTGTCTGTGATCTAACTATTCTAAAACATGATATCGATTTTGCCGTAAAATTTTTTTGCTAGATCTACGTGTTCATACGAAAACATAATTATTTTAAATAGATTATTATTTGAAAACAATTAGAATCGATCGTTATCCTGATCCTTTCGTTTGGTGGTCTGGTAATAGTAAGCAGTACCTAAATTTAACAAAGATTGCAAGAGTCTACAGCGAAAAGCAGTCCTCTGAAGTTGGTCTTGTCTATGAAAATAAACGGAACTGAGTTTTATCACTTCTTGCAGAAATTTGTCTTTATTGAAATTTGAGCACTAAATTGACAGATTACGTTATATAACTTCATAGTACTTTACAGTTACAAGTAATGAAGAGATTGTCACTGATCGTATAGTAGCTATTTATTTATCCTATTACTATCTCTAATAAATAAATCAATTTATTTGGTGTACTGATTTGGAATTTTTTCTTATGTTTACTCTTATGTTCAAGTAATTATCACTCGAAGTTAAGGTTCTAAGTTTCCAGTAGAAGTTGAATTAAGGTGTTTTGGGGACCTTAAATTGTTGCAAGCAAAATTAAGCACTAATGTATAGGTTATAGGTTAATTAACTTCGGACATTGTATTTCGTGGTCCTTGCATTAGACCTGACATCCATTTGTTGGTAGAGCAATGCAGTGCCCTTAAAATTTTTTCGAGTTAAACTTCGAGGGGCACTGTTACTGTTATGAACATGTGTGTCGCTCACCACCGGATCAGCTCGACTTGTTCATTTCGTCGTTTACACGTTTGAAATTTTTCCGGTACATACAAAACATGCCTAAAATATGAAATTGAAAAAAAACCCATTATATTGATGGTTGAAACATAAAGAGAATAATTCTTAGTGATAAAACTCACCTAGTTTCACTTGTGACGGACCTATATCATTCACGAATTTTAATATGTAGTCTTTAGACTGTGCCAGTTAGCCCCTTTTAACTTTCAACCTTAGACTCGAATTAGGTCACCGAGACTACCGTCAATGATTCTATTGGAACTGTATAAATACACACCTTCTCAGTAGGTTCCGTCTCTTGGCCCGATTCTCACGGGCGATTTCAGGTGCCTCCTTGTGCTCCTCCAGCTTAGGTTCATGTGAGCTTTGCTTGACTTCTTCCTCTTTCTGCTTTATTTTTTGCAGGACACGGCTTGACGTGCGCCGTGGGGCAGTTTCCAGAAGCCTGTTTCATTGATTCTTGTTAGTCATACTCAAACTATACTTAGGTTATTTTGGTGTCCGTCAGGGTGGCTGGACCAAAGAAGATAGACAAATCAAACTATGCTCATTATTTACTACCTATTTTCTACTATTTAGTACCTTCATTGACATATTTTCTGCCTCTTGCAAAGGCGTTTTATTTTTAAATAACTTTTTATAGAAGCTTCCTAAAATAGTGAAAAAAAAGTATGTTTAGGTAGAAATTAGGTAGTAAATAGTAATATAAAAAAGTAAATTATGTATTGTTAGAACCATGATAACCGTAAAGTGGTCCAGCCAACCTGATGTCAGAATGCCAGCCATTCACTTTATTTCTTTAATATTTCCGATAGCGCAAAGGTAGAAAATATGTCAATATAGATACCAAATAGTAGAAAATAGGCAATAAATAATGAGCAGTTTGATTTGTATATCACGTCTGGTCCAGCTCTCCTGACGGACACATTATTTTGTTAGAGTAAGTGACAGCACCTTTAAATTTACGCAAATAAAAATTCGCTATGCGTAGCTTTTTGTTTTGTAGGTATACTATAGCAACTTACAAACTACAACGAATGTGTCATAATACTATATTAAATGTCCATATATACAATATCATCTTACTAGTTATATGTAAGATTGTATGTCAACACATACTATCCTAAGCATCACCAAGGCGCATTGTAGTGTACGGGTAGATATATATGTAGCCTGGTTTAATAATATTATTAGTACATTTTTATAATATCTTTGTGACCCAACTTGCAGGTAACAGAAAGCTATAAGTATATTATCATGTAAAAAACTTTGCGCTCAGCTTGATAGTAACTTTAAAATAAACATGATTTTGCTTCCTAATGTGTTAATTAGGTGTTTTGGAGACCTAGCACAAAGAGACCTGGCAATAAAGTCTGTAGGTGGCAGTTAAATACTACCAACAGACGCAACTTCAAATGGCAAATATTGAGTCCAGCTTGTACATTTTTTAATTGTGATGTTGCAATTCTTTAAAAATATAACCTAGTAAAATATTCTTAAATTGTTCAGTGATAAAATAGTATTAGTTAACATGGTACATGGTTCAATAAAGTGCATTAAAGATTTCGCTTAGCAATTGATGACACAAGTAATGGACAATATATTCTTCGTCATTTACAATTACGTACATGTTATAGAATGCAGGAAGCAAAAAGAGATCTCAAAATACCCAAATTTTGTCCTATTTAAACTATAAAATGCAATTAATAGTTATAGTGACTCAAATTTCATAATCTTTTATGAAAGGTAGATAAGAAAATATGATTCTGAGTAGGAACACGAAAACTTGTATTGAATTGAATATGTCTATCATGATATATATATGTTCTAGTTAAGGAAGAGCGGGACCTCGGGACACAAGTATTTAATTACTTAATAGAGGTCTCAACCTGTTTTTTTTATGCCAATTGTTATGATGATTTGATTTATTTATATAGAAGTACACTATTACTGATAATATACTAAGTAGCTACCAAATCTAATTATCTTGCTAATTAATAAAGAGGTTTACACAAAGTTTATTCAAAGAAAGTTTCATACTTAGAATTAGTTACACATCAAAGAAAGTTACATACTTAGTATTAGTTACACATGTATTAATCTGGATTTAGCTCTAAGAATTTAACAATATTCACCCATAAATGTTTTAGCATAAGATTACATTTTTATCAAAATAAGTTTTGAGTTGTAACTTTAAACAGATATCAATAGTTTCGAATTCATTATTAGCTCTTAAGCAAGAGTTACACATGCATAATTAAAGATGAATAATTATCTTGTGAGATTACTCATTGATGACAATTCTTTAAATGTTCAGTTTCAAGCCATGTTCAAGAGAATGATTAAATCCTAATCAATTATGTGGACAGCCTAGATTACTTAGTTATATTATAAAAGAAGTTAAAGATTATAGCCTGTTAAGAGAGCTTGTGATGCATTCACGAGATCTGAGTGACATTTCAGATGCTACTTCAGAGATGTCACTCAGAGCACTTAACTGTTAATTTGCGGAAGTCGCGGATCCGAGACGGACCTATTTCCAGTTCTTATGGACGACCAATTAACTTCCGCAAGTTAAGAGCTATTCATTAATATAGGCTCAACGAGTTTTAAGTTTCAATATTTTTGTTAAATCTTTTGTTTTTAAAAGAAAATTTTTAATTTTGGAATATATAAACACAGTAATGACTCTTGTATGGGACTCACCTCTTTCGTTGGAGCCTTTCTTTTTCCTGGAACAGCCTAGGTATCTCAGGTAGGAAGTTCTGTGAGAGGGAACGGTAGAGCTCCTTTTCAACCTTGCTGGTAGCCTTGCCAAATTTCTCTGTCAGGTGGGTCCAATCTTCCTCAGTGAAGCACACCACTTGCCAAACTTTTTCAGTATCGTCGTCATCGAGCCAATCATCCCCATAGAACCAACCACGTTTTCTGCTCTCCCGTACCCTCTTCTTCTTGTTCTTACTCTTTGATTTTCTTATAACATCTTCTCGATATAATCTTGTTCCATAGAAATACCAATATGCAGAATCATTATCATCCCATCTGCAATATTGTTCAAATTAAGTACTTCTAATAAAACTCTATTGTATCTTAAATTAATTTTGTGTTCTCAGAGTGAATAAAAAATATGAATTAGTAGTTCAATAAGTGAGCATATTAAGATATTATACAACTCACCCAAGTGGTTCAACTCTCAAACTTTCTGCCTCAAGGTTTTTAAAGAGGTCAAAAACATCTTCTGCATCCAAACGGAAGTCACAAAGAGCATACAGAATTTCCACCTTTGTCCGAAGGGGCAAGAATTGAAAGTCAATATCAGAGTCAAATGGGTTGTACCTTCCAGTCTCTTGACATTTTCTCCTGAACAGGCGTCTCAAGTACATCTACAAAGGAGAATAAGATAGTGATAATAATGTTGAAAGAATGACAATGTAACACATATTTTTCTCCAATTAATGATGTATATCGTAATTTTTTATAATAATTTGAGTAAACTGTACCTGATAATTAAAGGCAGAGATGTCATTATTGCCTAAACAGCCATTCAGAAGACGGACGATTAACTCTGTCAGGAGCGAACTAGCAGACTCCTCTGTGCCATCTGTTAGCAATGCTTCTTCAAGTTCCTAGGGTAATATGTCAATTAATCAACGGTACATCTTCAAACAACACAATAGACGAAACAAGTTACAGATTATTGAGTACTCACTTCGATGTCAAAATCTAAGAGATTGAATGCAGATCGGAATAAAGAACAAAAGTAGGCGATACTGGGCACTTCCCACCATGACTGAATATCTAGAAACCGTGAGAAATTCATTCAGACATCACTTTTAGGGATACTGTGTTCAAGAAAAAAACAGGTAGCTGTTCTCCCGTTTCACTGAAACCCACCTAAAATACCAATAAAAGATGGAAACATAACCTAAAATATGGAAGCTTTCACACTAGAGTTTCTTATTAGCAAATATCATCAATATCCATGACAATCCACGTTTTTAAAACAGTTAGAACACAATTCACACAATTTTGTTAAATTTCACGGTGGAGATACGAATATGCGTTGTGTATTAGGACACAAACGCCATCAGTTCAGTTTACTAAAATTGCACAAATGAGCACTCACTTACATACAGAAATTGACGCAGATTGATAGTATTCATGTTGAATTAAGCTAAAGCTGTTTTTTATTACCTTCCATTTTCTCTGCTTTTATTTACGGTTATACTGAAGCATTTCTTATTTTCATATTTAAAGAGGGATAAAACGATTATACTTTTAGCGGAAGTAAAACTATCTATGGTCTGGAGTCAAACGATTTTTTTGGCGAACTTGCGAGGTCACAACTGTTTTGTATCTTCTTAGAAAGAATTAATCACTATTGTTCGTGTTGTTAGTCTGTTATTGCTTGCTTCTTTATTGTTATTGTCATAAACTGGAGGATATGCATAAAATAAGCGCATGAAAGTAAAAAACATAAATTAATTATAAAAATAAAGACAATTTTTTATTATGAAAATATGTTACAGAAGCTCATAATTTTAAGTAAAAATACTTAAAAATTAACTATTGTATTACTATTTTTGGTAATTTTTTTTCTAATAATAATGTTAATTTTGTATTTATCTAATCAAATTTGTGCATGGGACTGTACCATAAAATGAAAATGGGTTGGCTATGGTTAGACTGTAACTATAGAAGGTAGGTAGTGTTGTAAATAATCCATTAATCGATAATGAACATCCAAAGACAAGGTTGCTGTTTTCATGCGCAGAGAATATTTCTTTTCTTCGTTTTTTTGGCTTTTCGCGGTCGGCGTTGGAGCCAATGACAACATATATTATTTATCTTTATTTGAAAACGGGGAATCCTTTTCGTATGTTTTGAAATTTAGGATACGGATTTAGGAAAAAGAAAAAAGGATGGGAGAGGAATTTCAAAATGTAATTTTTATTATTTTTAACATTTCACTCGTATCACAGACAAAATTGTCATTTTTATATAACAAACTTTCCTAGCATTTTTCTAAAGGTTTGTAATTATTTTTGGTGTAATGCGACGAGTTTTCATTCGTACTAAAAAACCTTAGAGGATGGAAAAATTGATCCATATCGCGCCATAGAGTAAAAAGTTATATTCGATCGTTGAGTAGAGTTGAACGAAGAAAAAAAGAAATGACATGACAGTTCAGCGTTAATCAAAGCCAATAATCGTATTATAGGTATTTTTTATTTTAATTTCGTTTATTGAACGGTTTCCAGTAAAAATCCCAGATAGAATGGTGATCGATGTTCAATTGTAATTATTTAAAACAAGGCAATTCTTCTAAACGTTAAGCAGGTAAACAATCAATTAAAGGTCACTGGGATGTTAATTTAATTAGACCAGGAACTTTGTACACTAAGTTGAAGTTAAATTGATTATTTTAATGATTTGGTAAGTTAACTAGACATTATTCTTATCGTATTTGCTTAACTAATGTATAATGATTAGCAAATAGGTTAATTAGATATTAGTTTGTTTATCCATTGATTTTCATTATAATATAAATAAATGTTTTTTTAATGTTGCTTTTGTTTCAATTAGTTCGTTGTGGTCTGTTTTACACGCCTTTTTCAGGTACCAATGCCGATTTAAATATGTGCCATAAAGCCTGTTGAAATGCCGCGTGATTTGTTGAGCGACAGTCTGGCTGTACTTAGGATAGTGGAGGTAAGATTGTTAATTTTTGTATTTTTAGTAAGCTGCCAATTTTCGCCAACCATTTTTGATAGATCTGTGTTCAATAGTGACATTGCATGAGCCTATGTGTTAAACGTGTTGTTTGTAATTTTAATCAGTGTTTATATATTTTTTTATTTTTTTTGATAATCAGCAATCAGTCAACCAGACTATGATCAGGGGAGTTGAAAGATATAGGGCATACCAGGAGATTAGGGCCATTGCTCTATATCTCCTTAATTACATAGATCATCAGCTCTTTTGTGTCTTCTAATTGACGAGTTTTGGAGCAAAAGCTGATAAATCTGATAAATTTCAATTGTAATTTCATCTAATCTCACTGAATTGATTTGTCGAGTTGTATTCAGATCCATGCATTAAAAACCTATTTCCATAAAGGATTTAGCAGTTACTGTTCAGGTTGGATAAGTTCTTCATATAATTGTACAAATACTACCACTTTGCGTTAAAAATGAAAAACAAGTCAAATTATGTAGATTTTTAAGGTTTACGTGGTTATTCACTAAATGATTATCATTAATTATAATATCAGGAAAATAAAATTTAAATGCCAGCGTGATGTTCAATTTTCTCTATAGTTTCAGAAATCTTCCAGATTGACTTGTTTGCAAGAAGATTATTAAACAAGTAAAGACGCTCATTAGTATAGATTAGCGCAAATTACCTGCTTAATGCTTATTATGTGAACTTTTGGAGCTCCCTATGTCATGGTGGCCTCAACATGTGTTGTTAACTATATAGTGGTTAGGTTCTACGAAGCATGGTTAAAAATAATTTTTATTTATTTTTACAGCATGAAGATGAAGAGAATTGGCCACTGGAAGAAAAATCATCATGTAAGCAGAGTGAGAAGAAACTTGGAATATCTTTGAACAACCAACAACCGTATATAAAGGATGACAGTGGTTGTTATTACAACTATGCGTAAGATATTTTAATTTTATAAAACTGTTATATGCATTTGGTATGAATTTTGTTGTTGTCCATCATCAAGTATACAACCAGAAATAGAGACGAAATAAGGGCCATATATTCCTGGTAACACATTAGCGATACAGCTCTTAAAAATATCAATTCTCGTTTTCATTGAAATATTGACAGGCCAACTACTGACCTGTGTGTAAGTCTCCATATATTCCAAAAAATATTCTGTATTTATTGTCATACAGATAATATCTCTAACAACGCCGTGCTGTTGTATTCGGTGGTGTGGGAAAAACAGCAAAACATCTAATTACAAAACAAACGGAATCAAATTTCATTGGTAATTAAATATTAAATATGTAATTTTGCAATTTTCGTCCATTATAGCAAAGCTCAAGTTAACTGTTCGATTTGAAGTGAAACAGTTGATGACACTCATTGACGACACCCGTCAATTGTTTCGAACTCGGGATAGCCAATCGGAGTGCAGTTGTCACAGTAATGATATGGCAGAATAGTTTTCAAACAAATTAAATGATATTTCGCCTATATTTCTGGTTATATACTCGATGTTGTCCATAAAGTGAATATTACCTGCCATTTTTAAATATAAATGTTTTTGTCGTATTGCAGTCTTGGTGAGAGCGGTAGCCAAAGACAACATGACCCTGTTTATCAATACAAAACCAGTAGTTTGCCTCCTGCTTCCTCCATCAATCAATCATGGGATGATGTGGTTTGCTCTGCACTTAGGATACCTCCAGAAGACATTGCCAACCAATTAACCCTTCTAGACATGCCATGTTTCAAAGCCATTATGCCAGAAGAATTAACAACCTGTGGCTGGAACAAACTGAATAAATTGACTGTTGCTCCTAATGTTGTGGCATTCACTAAGAGATTTAATAGGGTATGTATTAATAATTAGATAGTTGTCTCTTGTTTAAATGTTGTTGATGTTGTTAAGATGATGATTATTATTAAGCATAGCTTGTACCACGCTGTTGGTTGAGTATAATTTTTTTCAGCCATAGCATTATAACAAACTGGTGTTACCATTCTCAAATTATGAAATATTTTTGGTTTGAAATGATACCCTTTAGAATAACTCTAATAGTACTGATTGTCCCTCACTGGAAAATGAAATTTCATAGTATATTTTAATTAATCTTTTCTGCATATAGTTACATTTTGCTCTGTATTGCGAATGATTACTTAAATTGCGTTGTGACTTATGACCTGCTTGTGTTTCATCGATTTATATACAAATACATACTTTAGTGACATACACTGTATGGATATTTAACAGCAGTTCAAACAATTTTGCTAACATGAATTAGATATAACTGGTAAGAAAATTTTCTTTGCCAAAAGCTTTATAAATTTTCCATCAATAGTCTACACTTTTAAACTTTCATGTTGTATTATACTAATATATGCATAACACAAATTTGTACCTTAATAATGGGAAAATAGAGATGAATATGCTATAGGCGAAAAATATGATGCGTCGCGACGCTTCCACTCTGCGCGACGCTTCGACTCTGCGCCAGTGTGAGATGAGCCTAATAGGTTGATGTGAAAATGCCTATTAAATTGTTTAATCGCCTTTATTCCTCTTTTGAAATTTTAATATTGCTATCATAGTACACATTAAAGGTGAAAAATGTAACTGACCATTTTAATTGTATTTGTCATTCACTCTGTTTGACTAAATTCCCAAACTAGTGTCATTATGTATTTGTGAAATTGTTGTAAGGTGTGGTGATATTAAAATCATGCAATATGTCTTACTCCTTAGGTTAGCTTTTGGACTGTTCAAGAAATTTTAAATGGACAATCTCCCAAAACACGGGCTGAAACTATGGTACATTTTATAAAAGTGGCCAAGAAACTTCACGAGATTAATAATCTACATTCTCTCTTTGCTGTTATTTCGGCTTTGAGATGTGCCAGTATCTATAGGTGAGGCAAGAAAAACTTACGTACGCTTTTGTGTTTACTTTTTTAATTGTATAGCTTACATTAATTAACAAACACCATCCTGAGGTCGGCAGACTAAAGCACATAAGTTAAATTCATTTGTTTTAACTTAAGTGCTAGTGGCGACTTTTTCAACCTTATCTTTCTCTTCCTAATCTTCCGACATTAAAAACAACAGGGACATTATCTACAAACTTTGTTTGTTTATTTTATTACTTATCTGCATAAGTCTGCTGACCTTACAATTATTTTGTTGAATTTAAACAATGTGATGCAGTAATACACTATTAACTATATTTTAATTCAAAATTGTGAAATGTGACAGACTGACAAAAACATGGGCTTGCTTATCAACCAAACATAAGCAACAGTTTGATAAACTCGCGCAAGTGTTTGGAGAGGAAGATAACTGGATGGCGCTGAGGGAGTATTTGAACTCCATATCACTACCTTGCATACCTTATCTTGGTGAGTTTACAATAGATTCGCAAATTTTTAGTTTTTTTAAGTCCTCTCTAGACTTTGAACTCAGGTCAACCATTCTGCCGCTCTTAGTTAAAAGGGCGCTTGTGACAAAAAGCCAAATCCGAGAAAATAATGTTCAAAGAAAAAAAAAATTAAAAATGTCTGCTTTCGCCAAACGAAAAGACAAAGACACTTGCTGCAAACGCAATATATATTATTATAATAGTATTTTTTAGTTTTTTTAAAATTAATTTTTACGTCATGCATATTATATGCATGACGTAAAAATGAAATATTTAATTATTTATATATTTTCCTTTTCATCTTAGTAAAAAAAATGTTCGTAAAATACTCAATACTAGGTAAGATGGGCGCAACTAACCACTTATGCCTTTTCAACTTAGCAATATATTTATCATTAGTGTAATAATAAGACGAAAGGGCACATGGTTGCATGCGTCTTTTTAATTTCGTAGCATGATATGTTACAGATTTTTATTACTTAGATGAAAGGTTGTTCTCTATGTTAAATATTTTATTTTTATGTTTCTACATTATTTTAAATGTGTGGGCACAGAATAACCTGTCATCTTATTTTTCAATAGTTTTCTGCATGTAGACTTTAACTATGCCTAACAAAACATAAATAAAACAGTAACTAAAAATTAGAAAAATTATTAAATTTTATTAAAAATTGTACGTATTTAAATAATTGATAACAACTGAACTGAGTTGAAAACGTTGTCAGACGTGGTCCTGCTGCTGCAGTAGCTAGGTAGAGTTCCTATCTCTCGTTCTTTTTATAGTACGTTGCCTAGAATTATGTTGCTTTCTCCGCTACGTACATTATTACACTAAATGTTAACGAAATTTTCTGCTCCTGATATGCTATCATTGATAATTGACGCAGTACAAGTAATATAAAACCACGAAAACGTTTCATATTTCTTGACTGCAGCAATATTACTTATGTAATATATGTAAATATTGTATAGGATAAATAAATAATTATTGTGAACTGCACCAAAGAAAACCATTTAGGTAGTAAGGACCTTAGTTACTACTTTATATAATCACATCGATACATTTAGTTATATTGCTGTAGATATTAAATACTTATTTTAACTGCCTTAGTGGCCGAACGATTACTATACTGGACTACCACCCAGAGGTCCCAGGTTCGATTTCCGGGCCGGGAGAAATATTTGTATGGCCTACATTTATTTCTCTCGTGAGTTTGTATGTAATTTGTGATTGTCTATGTGTGTGTCCATGGCACCCGCGACACAGGGTTTCCCTAGTGCGGGGCTATGTTGAGTGTGTGCGTTATAATTATTATGTTAATAATTAAATATTTTCTACTACTATTTAGTAATATCTACGAGTACCTACATACATGGAAAATATTTCCCAAACTAGAACAAAATACTTATACAATATATGATTTCAAATTGTCGTGTTGTTTATTTTATGACATGAATTAAACACTGTTTAGAAACAGACATTTCAAAAATGTAAACACATAAATTGTACAAAATACAAAACTAGCACTTACTTTACGTAAATTGCGCATTAGCTACTCGCGCGCAGGGCGCAAGTGACCGAATATCATTGCGTTCCTCCATCCCACACCCCGGTTTCTCCTAAAGTGCTAAGAAGAAAGGGCGCTTGTGTGTACGTGCGTCCTTGCAACGTGAAAATTATCTAACCTAATGCAAAAATAGACGCTAATACCACATGCGCCCTAGAAACTAGCAGAAATACTTGATTTAAAAGGCGCATGTGGTCACTAGCGCCCTTTCTATTTAGTCACAATGGCAGATACGTCCATGTCACCATAGTAATACCAAGCGTGTGCTAAGTCAAAAGTGATTACTTACGTCTCTTCAACTACGAATTTAGAATTATAGTATTAGAATGTATTTTCGTTTACTTAACCGATTGAACGGTGTTAAAATTAGTGACGTATATACGCAATTGCGCCTCTTCAATTACTTTTAACAAAGTTGTTTTGTAAATGCGTCCATTTATCTTGGTTCGATCATAAAAGTATGGGTACTTACGCCCTTTTCTCTTACGGTAACTCCATACCTAATCCACATAGGAGAAAAGTAAAAATAGTGGCAGATGCGCCTTTTTTCCTGATCACGGCAGTACCTATATGTAACTCATTTTTTTTAAATGTCACACTTAACTAAGGACGGCAGCATTGTTAGAATAAGTACGTAAAAGGCTTTACGCGTACTTTTCAATTTAGTTCCTCCCTCACCATCCCTCCTTCAGTCGACTCGAAGGTCCGGAACACTCCTTACACCACCCATTCTCACTAAGTGCTTTGCTTTGCGTCCTCCTTTCTGACGCGTACGGCAAAGGAATGGAATACGGCACAAGAATACTATAATATATAATACGGCATCTGTGTTTCCCGAAAAGTACAATTTTGAGCTATTCAATAGTCGGTCACATCGTCGCTTAACATCAGGTGAGATTGTGGCCAAGCGTATCTCTATTGTTATATATACATATAATAAGATTATATAGGAGGGGAAAAGAAAAGCGAAACAGCTTATAGAAGGGGAAAAGGAAAGCGAAGTACACAACGATCGAAACGAAGCTATTTAAATCAGATAAGGGAAAATGTTAATGTAGTGTCGTATCAGAAAATCAATGTTAGGAAGCTAAACAGAGATGGTTAGCGATAGTTAGCCTAGCTCTTAGTAAGACTTAATCATATATGACGTAATCATTCATTTTGTGATTAAGTATTAAAATGTGCTTTACGAATTTATTAATATACAGGGAATTGCCTCTCTTTATTGATAGTGGATGTATCCTATGATAATTGCTATTTTATGAAAATCTTGTACCTAGCATTAACTTGTGATTTGTAATATTTTTTTCACTTTTTTCAGGCATTTTCTTGACAGATCTGGTATACATAGACATAGCTCACCCAGTGGGTTCACCACATCGGACAGCTAAGATGGCCGTGGTGTTAAAAGCCCTTGAACGGTACCAGAGTTCTGAATACGATATAACGCCTTTGCCGCATGTCGCTAATTACCTGAACAGCGTTCGGTATATTGAAGAGCTGCAGAAGTTTTTAGAAGACGATCAGTACAAGTGAGTAATTTATTTTATAGTAGCAGTAGAGCTCCGTGTGAAAGAGTTTGTCCAGGGAAGTACTGCTATCTTACCTATTTCTGCCGTCAGGTAGATGAGCATTACTGCTGCGTTCCGCTTTTGAAAGGTAGAGGTGCTGGTGAAATTACAGGTATATGGGACTTGTCAACGTGTGTCTCAGGGTGACTGGTACAGTGACAATTCCTTTCAGATCTATGCACGACTTGTTCGTCTCGTCCATAGATATAGGAAAAAAGGGGAGATATGTAATGACGCTAAGTACGATCGGGTACCGATGTCGCCACTTTTTAGCTTGTGTGCAATTCAAACTTTACGCTCTATTATCTACTACCATAACTTAACTATTTTCATTGGTTAGTGCTTAAAACATGAAAACGACGTAACACCACTTTTTAAATTTTAACAAAATTAAACTTACAGTCACTCGAGTAAGAGTTATGTTGCAACATTTCAGTCTTTTTTTCATCCTGGTTCAGCCATTCGCCATCAGGTGGCGTTTTAGTAAAAATGCTACTAGTATATAATAGCTAACTATTACGTTGGATGGCGCTGAAAGTCATTTTTCGTTACACTAAGAACTCACGGAGCGGTATTCACCCGCGTTTGCCGCGGGACCGCGGCATCCGCAGAATGTAATAGTTAAGTATATAAAATTAGTAGCACATTTCACGGCGTATTTTACGCCTTTAGTGGTGACCGCTGCTCACGATTGCTGCGGCGGGGTACTAGTAGAACCACCCAGGACGCGATCATCTGCGCGCTTGGCGGCCGTCGTTGCCAGCGCACTTTGGCGGTCGGTTCAGGCTCAATGTGATGCAGGCGCCTGCATCCTACAGCCTGCAGCTTACGGGGGGTGCGTTCTCTATAAAGAGCCCTCATGCTAAAAAAGTTTTGACGTTGGCTCCACCCACACTCCCCGCTCGCAGCGCAAACCGTCCAAAAGTAATTTTCGCGCGTTTGTCGTCGACCCGTAAACATTGAATCTATAGAGTCGTATTCGAACTACACACATCAAAAGTGTCTAGGGATCAAGTACGTTTAAGAGTATTGCTGCAATTAGGGTTAATTATATTAACTTTTTTGTATCGCTATTGATACTTTTTAGTGAGTTTTAACATTTAAATAAGGAATATTGTTTAAAATTCGATAATAAGAAGAAAATCGATTGTCAATGTGGTTTTGTATAAAAATGAGTTATAGCGTTTTGACAAAATCATTACAATATCTGCATCGAAACCGAAACAATTTACATTATTATGGAGAGACGACATCATTTAACCCGAGAAGTGATGATGCGAGCCGTCGGAATGTTGGAAGCTGGTTCCAGGCAACGTGCTGTGGCTTTCACTCTTAACACTACACAGAGCGTCATAAGTCGCCCCTGGACGCGCTATCGCATGACGGGCAGCGTGGCCGAGCGACATGGAGGACGATCTCGCATCACGACTCGCAGACAGGACCGGTATATCCAAAATACTGCTCGACGGAATCGTACCATGACCGCCATGATGTTGGTTACGAGGCTCCACAGCTCCTCAGGCTTGCTAATAAGCGATCAAACAATCCGAAATCGTTTACGTGAAGTGGGTCTGCGATCCCGAAGGCCGCTCAGAGTTCCACCTATTGCACCCTGCAATCGCAGGACCCGTTTACGATGGGTTCGCGAACACAGAAACTAGGAGGAAGAAGACTGGCGCTATATGTGCTTTTCGGATGAATCCCGCTTCGGTATGAGACCGGATACAAGACGTACTCGAGTTTGGAGAACATCTGGACGTCATGAACGTTTGAGATATTGTCAGGAAGTTCATCCATATGGTGGGGGAACAATAATGATATGGGCCGGTATTTGGATCGGCGGAAGAACCGATCTCATTTGGATCAGGGGTAACCTCAATGCTCAAGTTTACGCAGAGAGGATTGTTTCAGATGTTATCATCCCTTTGCGAGGCCAGTTGGGTGATTCATTTCAACTAATGCATGACAACGCACGTCCACACACGGCTAGAGTCGTAACACGCATTCTTGCCGAAGCTCGTATCAACGTTCTGCCGTGGCCTGCTCAATCGCCAGACCTCAATCCAATTGAGCACGCATGGGATATGCTTCAAAGAAGAGCTGTGCCGAGTATGCATACCGTACATACTCTACAACAATATTTTGACTTGTTACAAAACACATGGGCGGCCATTCCTCAAAGTGATTTTGATGAACTCATCTTAAGCATACCAAATCGCTGTAATTGTGTGATTCGTGTTAATGGTGGAAATACAGATTATTAATTTTCTTATCTTTACAATAAAAATGAGCAAAATCATCATTTTCGCCATTTTTTGTCATTTAATTGACGCCGTTAATTTGAGTTTTTTTCCCACAATTTGCAAAAACATCAATTTTAGTTTATTTTAATTAAATATAGGGGTAAGCGGTTAAATAAAACATAAGCATTAAAGTAAGAAGTCGTCCTGGAAGACTGGATTTGGTAAATATTGCTTAAATAATTTTTATTTCAAAAATATTCACTTGATCCCTAGACACTTTTGATGTGTGTACTTAAAATTTTTATTACACTTTATTGAAATAAACGTATTACGTATTTAAATATGTAACCCTAATTCTAAAGTACAATTTGAATAAAATGAGTTAATACACCGCTAAATTTTAAATTTATTAATAAATTTAAAATAATTCGATGCCAGAACGAAGCGACTTAAAATATTGTTTATCAAAGAACAATGTAACAAATTGAAATATATATTGATGACATATTGTAACTGAATATTTTTCAAATGAAGCGACTTACAATATAATAAACAAATGAACTATAGTAGAGTATGCGCATTTGTGTATCTACATATGTGAAGGTGTATGTGTATATGTGTGAATGTGTGTATGTCTATGTAAATATCTGACAAATTTCGACAAGAGTTTAAATTTTTTTTTTAGTTTTTAGTTTTATTTAGTTTTTTATTTTTCTGGGGAAGCCAAACGACAAGGCTGAAATAATTCATTTCGTTGTCGTTTTCAATTAAAATACAAATGGATAGAAGCCATCAAAAAATGTTAACCTATTAGCATATTAAAATAGACTAGGATCAATGTAGACATTGAAGAAAAGGAAGAGAAAATATGTTCTACAATTTACTTTAGTACAATTTAACAAGTATTATTTCTCAATTTAAAATCTTTAATTTGCCAAGAGCCCAGGCCCATGCATAGGGACAATTCATATATTAAAGGTGATAATTTGCCTTTAATGCAACGTTTCATATGCTTAAGAGGTAATAAATAATAAACTGGATGTCTGACCAAAACTTGGATATAAATTTAAATAAAACAAAGATTATGCAATTTCACCCACCGCAAAAATCTCCACTACACTTAGTATATACATATAATAACACGCCTGTAGAAACAGTACATAGCTTCACTTTGCTGGGTCATTTTTGTAAAACCCTTTTTTCTTTTGGTTTTAATGTCTTAAACATACAAATAAGTTCAAGGAATGTCAATAATTATAAAATCATAGGAAATATTTAAGTAAAATACAACAAAACGATATTTTAGGTCACACGAATGAGATTGCAGTAACACATATGATTTTCTCATAAACATTAATGAGAAAGACGGCACAGTAATGAGAAATTATTATTACAACACACATTTTATTTTCAACACCGTCACCACCACCACTATCACCATCTAATAGTTATATTTCAAGTAAATGTTTGGCTTAAGGTAACTATTTGACTTAAAAGTAGACAAAATTGATAGCGACAATAATGATATTTGGATACATTTTTAATTGTCAAGTGTGTAAAATATGCTGGACCGTTATAAAAGTGCATGGATTTTGAAGTTCCTTTGTCTGATTGATGTACAATAAAGTTTATAAAACTATTACTTAATACTTATTTAGATAGATTGCTTTACATGAATGAGAACGAGTCACTAGCGCTGAAATTGGTATTTAAGTCGATTTTTTGCTAAAACGGAGATGCACAGGTTACTTCACTGTGTACACTCCAACCCGACAGGATCCCCTTCTCACGTGTGCAAAAGGTGAAGGTGATGCGGTATTAACTTTTGTTATTAGAAGGCTTTTAGTTGAAGTGACACTAATGACAAGAAAAATTTAAACACATTTTGTATTCCCAAGAAAACATGTTTGTTTATAATAAATTGGAAAGTTACGGTATGTATTCGACGTGAAAATTATTAGAGTTTACCCTCGATGGGAAATATTGCGATTTCCACGAGTGTTTAATTTCTTTTCTTCTTTTCTTAAAATCATGGCGACGTGGAACCGGCTCCCATGAATGAGAAATTGCCCACTTTTTAATTTTTATTTATTACTGTGACGTAGTAAAGTAGTCTTTTTATGTGTAACACAGACTAAGTAAGCAAGCAATCATATTATATTTTAAATAAATAATGCTTAGCATTCATGTAATAACATAAAAGTTATTGAAAGGCACACTTTTTTGGAGGTTATCTGAAAACGACCCGTGAATTGGAAATGTCACATACAGAAAATTAAGAAAAAGTTGTCTAGTTTCACGTACGCACTGAGGGAGATAAAGAAAACGACTGACCTAATGAATGCAATGGCGGCTTATTATGTTTACACTCATTCCCACCTAAGTTACGGAATTATCCTTTGGGGAAATACTGTGCACGCACAAGAAATATTTACAATCCAGAAAAGATGCATCCGTATTCTTGGTAATTTGAGTAGTACTGATAGCTGCAGACCGCACTTTAAACAATTTTAAATTTTGACTTTGTGTTCTATATATATTTTAGAAATTTGTAAATTTATTAAACAACATCTTGGCTTTTATACTAACATTACTAATTAATAATTGAAACCTCGGCCTACCTCTGCTTTTATTGTTATCCCTAATAAAGGGCTCATATGTGTGACATGTACCATATGAAGCAATAAATATATTGAGTATTGAGGTAGTTTTTTAGGG